TGCTGCTTTCTTCCAGCCTTTCCTTTGGGAACTCTGCAGTGACCCTTGTCTCCCAGCCCTTCTTGTCTTGGTCTTTTGTTAGTGAGCCCACAGAGCTACAAAAATATCAGGCTATGAAAACACGTTTCCCAAGCAGACTGCTGCTTATTTTGGGGTTTTATTACCTAATATTCCTTTACTGGAATATTTGTTGGACCAACCATTGGTCTACTGGAAATTTGATTCGTTTGATATCCTCAGAGGTTTTTTTATCACAGCCTGCACTGGTCTCCTAAATGAATTAAAAGAAACGATGTCAACCTGTAAAGGATCAACAGCAGGTGGAATAAAGTTAAAGGAACCACACAATTTATGGCAATAAAATTTTTGGCTCAAAATGCATTTAGTAAAATGGTTGAGAATTGTATTTATTCAGTTAGAGGAGCTAACACTTCACTGTTATCACTGGATGGAGTTTTCTAGTGAGGTGAAATCTCCACTGCTCTGGCCTGCAGGCTCAGAACCAAAGACAAGGTGGGTTTTGTGAGGTGTCTTTGCAGAGTCTCAGATGAGGTTGGGCTGTGGTGCACCAGAATTTTTTGGGGCAGTTCCACAGGCTTCCCCAGCTGGCAACCAGCCCTGTGACCTGCTGCCACCCACTCACCTTTACACACCCAGCCTGAGAGTGCAAAAGAGTTCAGATATTGTAAAGAGTTTAGGGTGGATTTCCATTGGAATTAGGGAAAAACAAAAAAAAAAAGGAGAAAACCTTTCCCAGAGATATTTTTCCTGTTGCACAAACTGTGTTGGAAACTGCAGCTACCCACAGTGAAAGCTGGAGAAGGAAACAGCTGATGGGCAACCAGCCCTGTGACCTGCTGCCACCCACTCACCTTTACACACCCAGCCTGAGAGTGCAAAAGAGTTCAGATATTGTAAAGAGTTTAGGGTGGATTTCCATTGGAATTAGGAAAAAAAAACCAGCTGATGTGCTTCAAGGGGCAGAGTTTTCAGCCAAGCAAGAGCTAAGTAGCTGGAAGATGGGGTGAGGGTCTGAGGGGAGATCCATGGTCTCAGACTGCAAAATCTTTTCTTGAGATAGCTCCCAGAAAAAGCTATCCTGGGGCAGTTTTGAAGCAGGAGGGTGATCCAGCCTCAGATGGAAGCTGAGCAGAAGTGGGAAGACTCACTGGTTTAGGGAGCAGGAGGCATCTAGTTTCCTTGGAGCCAAGTGATCTGTTTTTCAAAGGGAAAAAAGTGCTTTCCATAACTACATTCTGCACATCTAAAAATACTACAAACTCATATCCTTTAAATTAAAACACCTGTAAAGGAGAATGTATTTCATTTTTGTGCTGTGCTTCGTTTCTGCCTGACAGGGGGGTTAAGGAGAAGAAGTATTTTAGCAGGAAAAGCAGCACAATGCCTGAGCATTTTGGCTTTAAGGAGCCTTGACACAGCTCCACGAGTGAATAATTTTGTAGCCTGGAGCTCTACAAGAATTGTGAGAATTCCAGTTTGCATCACACCAGTGCAAACCTCAAGACCTCTCTAGTCTGCCTCAGACTCACCCAACCTGTTGTTGGCTTGGGTCAGTGGTTACACTCCACAACGCAGCACCAGAATCATCAGATTAGAGTGAACTGGAAACCACTGCTGATAAAGCAGCAGCTCAAAGTGGAGCTTTCCCCCAGGTTCTCCAGGCTGACTGCAGGGAAGGTCCTGGGTGCACATCCAGAGGAGATGATGTGCACACACTCCCTGTCTTCTGCAGAGTCCAGCAGGACCCCTGAGCATTTCCAGTGAAAGCCAGATGGTAGAACTCACCCAACCTAGAGCTGCATCATGCAGCAGCTGTAAGACTTCTGGCTGAAACAGTAATCTGGGGATCTGGTTCTGTTGGGACAGGAGGAGGAGTGGTGGTTTGAAACTAAAAGAGGGAGATTTAGACTAGAGAGAAAGAGGAAATGTTGGACCCTGAGGGTGGTGAGCCCCTGTCCCAGGCTGCCCAGAGAGGTGGTCGCTGCCCCACCCCTGGCACCATCCCAGGGGAGGTTGGATGGAGCTCTGAGCACCCTGCTCTAGCTGCAGATGTCCCTGCTCCCTGCAGGGGGGTTGGACTGGATGACCTTGAAAGGTCCCTGCCCACCCACACCAGCCTGTGAATCTATGACAAGAAAGGGCAGAAGCTTCATTCAGCCCTTTGGAGCATAGCCACTGTCATCACAAGTTTCATTTCTCCCTTCCATCACATTTATTTTGTCATTCTCATCAACAGGTCAGGTCTAACACTGGCTGTGTAAAAGGGCCTGGGCTGGCTCCTCACCAGGGAGGCACCTGCCAGGGCCAAGGAAGCCCTGCTGTGCCCAGCCAGCTGCCCGAGTGCTGCTGGGCAGTGCCAGCACTGCTTACACCAGCCTCTGCTCCACCAACCCAGCCAGAAACACCTCCCACAGATCCTTCAGCTGAGCCAGGACAGCTGCACTGGTTCCTCTGAACTCTGAAGTCTGCACAAATGCCACAGCCAGCCAACTGCCAAGAGATCAGCCAGTCCAGCCACCAACCCAGCTCTGCCAGGTCCCCACTGCCCCGTGTCCCTCACCCCACATCTCCACGGCTTAAACCCCTCCAGGGGTGGGGACTCCACCACTGCCCTGGGCAGCCTGGCACAGCCCTGGGCAACCCTCCAGGGCAAGAAATTGTTCCTCAGGGACAACCTCAACCTCCCCTGGGGGAACTTGAGGCCCTTGCCTCTTGTCCTGTCCCTTGTCCCTTGGGAGCAGAGCCCGACCCCCCCCTGGCTCCAGGCTCCTGTCAGGAGCTGTGCAGAGCCAGAAGGTCTCCCCTGAGCCTCCTTTGCTCCAGGCTCAGCACCCCCAGCTCCCTCAGCTGCTCCTCCCCACACTTGGGCTCTAGACCCTTCCCCAGCAGCTCCGTTGCCCTTCTCTGGCCACGCTCCAGCCCCTCAAGGTCCTTCATGGAGGGAGGGGCCCAACACTGACCCCAGGATTTCAGGGACAGCCTCTGTGGTGCCCAGTCCAGGGGGACAATCCCTGCCCTGCTCCTGCTGGCCACACCAGTGCTGATCCAGGCCAGGATGCTGGTGGCCTTCTTGGCCACCTGGACACATGCTGGCTCATCTTCATCTGGCCAACACCCCAGGTCCTCTTCCACCAGGCAGCTTTCCAGCCAGAATTCCCTATACCTGGAGTGTTGTGTGCTCACACATCCTTCTGAGTACTGAGGTTCTGAGGAGGAGAAGAGGAGTCTCCCATCTCAGGGATCTTTTCTCAGTGCCACGAAGCTGGTTAAACCCTCAGGTGCAACAGCTCCACGGTCCCCAAGCTGGCTGAGGGAGCAGTGGGCAGGGCAGAACATGTGTCCCAGCACAGAGACTACAGAGGCAAGGGCTGAGAGACAGGCAAATGTACTATCTTTAATAAATGCCCCCTAATTTCTTCATCTGTTTAATTATGGGCAAACACAGAACAGTTAACTGGGGTGAAGTACAGAAACTCTGTGCCCTCCCACTGGGACTGAGCTGAGGAGGTCACCAGGAGGTGCCAGAACACGTTCACAGCTGGCCAAGGTGTCCAGGCAGGGACACTCTGAGCAGGGACACAGGACCAGGGGCAGCCTCCTGGTGGGACTCACCCAATCTAATATCCCCAAGGGGCCAAGGAGCAGAACATCAGTCTTTGTTCAGAAGCTCTCACCACGTTTTCAGTGGTTTCCTATTTTACTGTCAACACAATGATCTCTAGAAAGTTAACAGACAGCTCTGACTTACTTTGGGGCGGGGTTATTTTGGAGGTTTGATGGAATTTTAACTCACTAACAAGGCTTACGTTACTCAATTAAATTGTTTTCTATTTTTACCTCACCCCTACTGGGTGGTAGCTCTCTCAGCCATTCCTCTTGTCACAGTGCCATTTACAAGAGCTCAAGTTCTCTTTGCACAAGAAGAAGAAAAATCCTTCCCTGGCCATAAATGCCTTTCACATAATTTCAAAATCACCACGGGCAGCTCCAGCCCTTGCCTGCTTACAGATCCCAAGCACAAACGTCCCCCAAGGCCCACATTCCTCCAGGAGCAGAACAAGCTGCCCCCTTTCAGATGGGGCACTGGACACCCAGGCGTGCCCTCGCCCCACAGCAGCAGAGGGAGACCTGGATTCAGCCTCCTCCACTCCTAAACCACGAGCAGGGGCTGCCTCAGATGGACAAGAACGAGAGGGCGGAAGGAATAATGAGACAGTGGAAAGAAATGCAAAGATCCTTTAGAGAAAAACAAAAACCTAAAGCCCAGAATGCTGCCGTCAGTAAGAGACGGTGAGAACGTGCTGAACACCAGAAGGCACTCGTGAAGTCACAAGTTTGCACCTTTTCTCATTAAGCCCTGAAGTAAGTTCTGCCACAAGGTGGGAGCAAACCAACCCTGCCAAGGGCTTTGTCCCCTGGGCACAGGACTCCACCACTGTGAGGTCTCAATGAACCTCCTCGCAGGGGGAGGAACACGGGGGTGGTGGCTCCCCACGTCCC